AGCTACCGGAGGCAGTCCTTCCCGTGCTTGTCAGCCGCCATCTGCTACCTTTGTATATAGCCCTACCATCGAATCACGGCGGTGCTTTTTCAGCGCCAGTACGATAGACGTGAACTTTGGACCCCTCCACACAGGCTTTGCGTACACCTTCGGCACCTCTGGCACCGGACACGCGCGCGCATGCAGGCTACCTCGGCATACATAACCGCTGCCGCCTTCGGTAAGAGCACTTATTCAGCCATGCATATGTCCCACATCTTCCCAGGCATGCAGAAACACGGCCTCGACGGTTGAGTGATTGCCAAAGACGGTTCCGGCGACGTCGTGTAACTTGTGTTGGACGAACATATCACTGTCAATGTTACAGGCGGTATGAAGTACCGCAGCATTGCCCCAAGAATTCATCTGGCTTTTTGGTGTATACCCCTCCAGTCGCTGACGAGTTTAATGCAAACCGAGGCAATGGGTGTTGGCGCGGACACACCTCGCGCACTGCTGCCGCCACCTGCAACGCTCTCGAGGTGAGACTGTGCTATAAAGGAACATTACATGTGCCCCTAACAGTAGGAATACTTATTAAGAAGAATAACTTGTGTTGCTCTTCATTGTCTGTTATGGTCGTGAAGGCCAGTGTGTTGCTAAACCTGGCTACGCCATGTAAGCAAGCTCAGCATTCGCGTGGTCCTGACATCTGGGTCTCCGCCGACGAACTCGAAGCTCCAAACAATCCTCGTCGCACATCGCAACATGGACCCCAATTACAATTCAGATTAAAACGGCTCTTTGACTAGGGGTGTTTCAACTCCATATATCCGTACTCCGCTTTGGAGCGCAAGTGAACACGATACGCTGACGCCTACCCGAGTAAGCCGGCATCCCTGCGTCAACCAAGGTTCGCTGATCACAGCGGCAGTGGTCATGCCGTTGTGCAATACAATCGCCCCTTGTGGACCCGTTCAATTCAATTACCCTTGCATTTTATGGCGATCAAGCACCGAGGGCAATGCGGGAAGGCGTTCATCGACCATTCTTGGCATTTGAAACTTCGGATGACTCGAATCCCCATGGTCATTTGATCGGCCCGTGCCCTTACTGATATTCATTCATCTGGACTGCTTCCCGTTGACAATGTCCTCGTCGTCTTGTCTAGGCCTCTTCATTAAATCTCATTGATCTTACAAGACCCTGGTGGTCACTTGCTTCATTGTCACCCCTTTTCAATCTTCACTTTCGTCCGGTTACGTGATTCATTGACTTGTCATTTATTTACTTCACAATGTTGTCTTCAATTGCTCTTGCTTCAGCCATCATGGCCACCACCATCTTGGGCCACGGCAACCTCGTCACACCTCCTCCTCGTGTTCCTGGCCCAGCCATGGAGGCAGCCTGCGGCCAGCAGAACGTCGACTCTGTGCTCGCAGACTCCGGTATCCCGCTAGAGAACTTTCGCAATGTCCCCGCAACCTGTACGTTCTTCAATAGATTATTCTGGTGCCTCGGGGAGAAGACTAACTCGACAGGCCAACTCGATTTGTGTCGCGGCGCTACATTCGCAGACAATACGGACCGTGTTCAGACCTTCACCGCCGGTCAGGTCGTACCGATCACGGCCGAGATTCCTATCCCCCACGAGGGGCCCTGCAATGTTTCCCTTGTCGACACAGCGTCCAATACTGTCATCGGTCTACCTCTTATCTTGTTCCAGAGCTACGCAGACGAGAATCTCGCCCAGCTCCCTCCAAACAACACGGCGTTTGAAGTCACTATTCCTCAGCTGCAGCCTGGGCAGTGCACACTAGCAGGCGAGTGCACGATGCAGTGGTTCTGGTTCGGTACCAACGCTCAGCAGACTTACGAGAGCTGCGTCGACTTTGTGTTGGCTTGAATTTGGTAGGAGGAACAGGCCGTTGCTATTTCATTGTATAAATCAAAGACATTGACAGACTGGTTGTATGCCAGTGCATAAAGATGCTGCTAGATTGAGCTCACGAAAGATTAGCCAACGAACGGGTGAACAACATTGAACCGATCTGCCACTTGCTGGGCACCCTTGCTGCCTGATCTTGACTGGAATTACACTCTAGCATTCTTCATATGAGGAAATAAATATATTATACGGGCCAATTATTGATTTGTCACGAATGTTTTAAACCCTGAATTGTTATGAGTTGTACCCTTTTCACCACTGTCCAGTATCAGCCCTCTTGCATTGTCCAAATCAGCTGGTGTGACCGTTTACAGTCCAATCGAAGCAATCAGTCGGGACAGGATACCGCCGAGCTCGGCAATCACGGTAGAGAGGCCAGTGATGCCAATGGCAAGGCTAGCCCTCGCAGCCCTGGCAGCCTCACCGAAGGTTGTCAGGGGTGTAACGAAGGGCTGGATGGCCGCCTTGACAGCATCGACTTCGCTCTTAATGGCGCTCTTGAGGGCAGGAGTAAGGTCGGTGGCGGTCAGACGCACAGTGGCGCCGATATCGCGGAGAATACGCTGCGCAGCAGCAATAGCATCACGAACTTCGTTAATTTGAGCCTGAGTAAGATCCTTGAGATCCCCTCCGATCGCGCCACCGGCGCCTGTGGTCCCCTTGGTAATGTCATCGGTGGCCTTCTTGAGTGCGTCGGCGATGCCCTGGATGTTTGTCTTTAGGACAACCTCAACCTGGGCCTCAACATTGTTCTTGACCTCGGCGACGGCACCCTCTTGTCATGACAAGGTCAGTCATCTCTCAAGCTTCAAAGACAAAGTTCCACCTACGGATAGCCTGGATGTTGCCCTTTGTGGCGCTGTCGAGCGTCGCGACAGCATTCTTCACGGTACCAATCGCCGTGTTCTGGCGAGCCTGCAGCGCAGGTGCAGCCGAGGCGAAAGAGACGAGAGAGAGGATGTTGAGGAACTTCATTTCGAGTGAATAACCTAAGTGGAGCCTGCGAATAGATTGAGATGGTGTTGTTGATCTCCGGTGTATAACTGTAGGAGAGATGTGTGAGTGTTGATGGAATTTCAAGATGCCTTTTGGGGGTTCGAGGACGCAATATATATACACGAAATGAAGGCTATGTCGCCTCGTCCTTGTCTACATGCTACCTTCAAATCCACATCTCAAGTCCATTCCACTTTGCAAAATCAGCTACATTCCGTTTTCGTGCCACGGGACTGTCATGATCCGGCTCTGCTGAACATCAAGACGAGCAGCCGGTCGTCAGCAAGGGCTGAGAATGATCCAGACCTGATCTCAACATGACACGCGAATCATCAGCCATGCTTCGCGGGTGGCTTCCTGTAGAGCAGCCCGAAGGCGCCAAGCTCTACAATTCAGAAAGAAAAGCCCTTGGCCTAAATTCGGAACGACGAGGAGGCCGCGCGACGGACACGCGCTACGTGCTTCTCAAGGGGTGTGTCAGTTTTGAGTTGCGGGGCCGTTGTCTTGTGTTCCAGTCGACACTCAGCTTGACCGGGCATCTTGGAATTCATGTTCTCGGTATCTTCCTCATCAGACATACTGCATCAGGCCTTGTTTGTGTCCCAAGGGTTGGCCCTCAGTCTGCTGGCGGTGAACTTGTTCGTGACATGCTGAGCACAATGTCTCTGGCCAAGCATCATTCCACCAGTCAAAGCCATGCTGTCACGAGGACCTGGGCAGAGCTCGATCTTCACGAGCGCCTGTCAAATGTGTCTAGGCCCGTGGCAAGGCTGATGAAAGTGGCTTGTGGTTGTTGAGACACTAGAGCATGCTCGCCCGCGACCCGCGACTAGAGTCATGGATGAAAACGGGAGGTCTAGGCTCGATCGTGCATTCATGTCTCATCTGCCTCGCTCGTTCCGTGCCACCTGCGGCCTGCCGTTGAGAGTTATGGAGATGGAAATGAGGAATTGAGGAACGCAAATGGCTGACCGCCATCGGATTGAGTGCTTGGGCCTCCTCTCCATCTAGCTCGCGAGGTTGACGTCGCGGGCAAGCCCGATCCGCGCTACCTCCGCAAGCGGCCGCTGTCAAAGCCATTCACGACTGTAGCCGTGCCCATGCTCATTCCGCCACCTGATTGCAGTGTGTCGCTCGAGGTTTGACAGAGGGGACGCATGGGAGGGACATGTCTCAGCCAGAGCGCGCCGAGAACCTCTCGATGCGAAGATCGAGAACTTGCTAAAGACCTCCGTCACCTTGGCAATCATGGACCTTCGTCGAGGCCACACGGCGACCCGGGCCCAGGCGAGGTTCGAGAGCGCAAGATGTCTTCAAAGGTGCAGATCTCGGTCCGGCGGCTAGAGAGTTGTAGCCGAATGCTCTACGTCTCAGGCATCCGATCAATGGTCGCCACCCAGCGCGACCCTTCACGGGTCCGGATGTTTTGTTCTCCCTCGAATGCGAGCAATGCTATTGTCATCAGCGTTCCAGACCCCTCTCAGTCATTCTCATGTTTGCATGACGGTAGGTCGACTTGAACTTTGGTAATCGTGAGACCCCGGTAGCCAGGTGATGAGTGCTTCGGCTCGAAAGCCATTGGTCATGCCCATGCTCTACGGTGGTCTTCGATATGGAAGATCTGACACTGGCAAGTGAATGTTCCTCCTCTCAAATGTGCAGACTGTCGATTGCCACGATGAGCACGAAGATCCAGTCCAATGACGGAGGAGGCGTTGAATATCCGAGCCTCTCGCAGACATTCCTTCGCAAAGACAACCCCATGATGATCAAATGCCGTCTTGAAGATTCTCTCTTCTTGCTCCGCTTTGGAGATCGACATTCACTCGAGCAGTATTTTGAGTCAATCTTCAGACGACGCCACACACTTGTCTGGCGTGGATGAAGAATTGTCTACATGGTTGTGTGCGACAAACTTCAACGGTAGACGCCATGGCAACCTCGTAAAGTGTCGTGATAGGTCTTCAAATCATTTTCAAGTGGTTCACGGCATGTTCGCTCCGGCTCAGATGCTCCGTTGGCGAAACTTGCGTTTGCCGATCAGCCAGGTCATTGCCAAGCATCAACAAAGACATCTTCAATCGTCGTATTATTTCGTAAGGTAATGGGTGCGTGTCATCGTTTTCGTGCCTCCATTCTTTCCTCTGCCGAGATGCCAGTGCCGTCATGAGGATTCAGGCGCTGCCACCACTTGTTCCACCTTTTTCACACGCTTTCCCTCGAGACCTCCCATAACGCCAGCAGCAATCGACACGCCAAAGGCCGAGCAAAGGAACAAAGGCACAGCCCACTGCGGACGCGTATGTCTGTTGTAACCCCACATGAACCCTGACAGCACGGCCTGGAAGACGGTGTTCATGACGTTCAAACCAATGACGGTTGCCAGCTTCCACAGCGCCGTCGGCGACGCGCGCAGCCCCGAATAGGGCGCATCCGGGATAGACCGGGCGGGATGGGGTACCACCGCCAGTGCACCGCCCTTGGAAAGCCAATCGTCGACTTCGTCGGGCCCGAGGTCGCTAGGGAGCTCCTGCGAGCCGGGCAGGCGAAACCACGAGCGGTAGGAGGCAGCGAGGCGGCGCAGGGCGAAGGAGTCGTGGGCGAAGTGGTGTTGGACAAGGCGCCAGGCGTCGCGAGCGCGCTGGGGCGCCAGGCCAAAGGCCATGACGCAGAAGAGGGCGTTCAGAATCTGGGAGTCGATCTCTATCCATATGCGGCGCGGCGAGTTGATGTCGTTGCAAGTCGGGTGGCACATGGCGGGCGCGGCGTTGCAGAGCAGCAAGAAGATCATGCCGCCCCACGCCACAACGTTGAGACAGTAGATTATGATGACGACTTTGACCAGTGTCATGTCGCGCAGCCAGGCGGTCGCCGTCTGCATCATGGTCGGTGGTGGTCGTCGCGAGGCAGATGGTCCGCTGGGCTCAATTACGGCTGGCTGTAGGGCCTCGTAGGCGGTGTTTTCTTGCCATGGTAGCAGCTCGCTTGCTTTCTGATTCGTCGTCATAGCAGCGGTCTTGTTGGCATTCTGATCGGTCTTCTGCTCGGATAGGGGGGCGCTGGGTACAGCTCTCGTCGTCGGTATTCGGGTTGGTGTTGCAATTGCGTAGGTACACGCGGCTTGGGCCTCTGTTGGCTGGGCAAGTGGCGATCAACTCGAAGTCTTACTTTTATGCAGATTGCGGGCGTCACCCGTCTTAAACGATATTTCAGGAGTCGAATCAGCAGGGTTCATGGTGATGACCAGCTTTCAAACGCCCCTTGGGCTTGGCTGCCCACTTCAACACGTACACGCTCGCATTCCTCGTACCCCTCGGTCCCTAGCCAGATTAAGTCACAGTGATAGATGCGCGGGATGGCCATAGCGTCGAAGTACGAATCGCTAGAACTAGAAGCGAGAGTGAGCGACGGGGCGCCCGAGGAAGCGAGAGTGCGGGTAGCGTACGAGTGAGATTGCGCGGCACTTGAAGGTCTACCATATAGCCAGGACCACAGCCGTCGGGGTGCTGGTAACCTTACCCTGTATTGCTGGACGCTTTCCAGGCTGCTGGTAGCTGACCATCTGCTCTGTTGGTGGTATCTTGAATAACTCAACGCTTTGCGATAGATCCCACTACAGAGCAATGCCTACGTGCTGTGAAGCCTTCATTCTGTAAAGCAGTCAATCTGGATTCCAACCCTTCGGAATCATATTGTAATTCCATGTCTTGTTCCCCATGGGCCTTCGTCTATCGATTGGTCCTCATGTTGACCTGCAGTCGTTCTAGTGTATAGGTACGCGCTCTACCAAAATCAATTCGGCCCCTGAACGCATGACCTCATGAAGCTTTAATGTCTCGCGCACGGAGTACGAGCTCATACAAAGGACATTAATGTCTAAGGATAGGTTTAAGTAAAGAACATGTGTATCCTTTGCATGAAACAAGTATTCGTGTAGCATTCGCGGGTCATCAGCAAAGAAAGAAGAGGATAGACCACCGCGCCGGTAAGTGAATGACCTACCCCGATGATTGTGAGTCTACCTTAGCTCAGCGTCAACTGCCCGGCCCCGCCTGAGAGGCGATCACGAGATCATTGATCATTCAGTCCCGTGGGGAGATGCAACTCATGAGGATCTAGACTGCCCTAAGGCGTAGGCACGTTGTGATCCCTACCACTTGAGGCTAACGCCTCGGGTCGAAATACTTTCCACGGTCTTTGCCTGTCGCAGCACAATGATCACCAACGACGAAGACCAGGCAGACAAGGGTAGAAGCGAGCCTGGGTGTCAAACCCACAATCTGGCGCTTACAGCGTCCAACGGCCCAACGGCCATGTTGATGGCGCAGGGTATCATTCGGCTAAGGGCTCTACCTATCCGCGAGCCTGAAAACGCGGCGTCTAACCCCTGAGTTGCGCTGGAACAGGACCACGAAAGCCTGAAGCAATTCGATGAACGTTGTGTGTGTAAAGGGGGACGGACGACCGAGCCGCGTCGTCGTCGGGCTCGCCAGCATGGAACAAGCGCTCAAACCTTAACGACTTGATTTCTTTGACGGCTGTTAATTCTTGACAATCCCATGATCCTTCCTCCTGCAAACTTCCCGGCGTGCCCCTCTGTCAAGTTCCCTCTGTCAAGTATCGCCAGGATCGTCTGCTTATCGCTCCTCGTTCCCTTGCGATCACTTTACCTTTCGCGCTGCATCCTTGGCAGGACAAGATGTTTGCGACGCAAGCTCTGCTTAAGCCGATACTTCCGGTCGCGATTCTTCTGGCGTGTTTTTGGTGGGGTTTCCAGTTATTTCAATGGAATCTCGTAAGCCTCTGCCCAACGAATCAATATTTATCACATCCACGTGTGAGCGACGGTCGATGGTCTGGATACTGAAACTGATCTTCGCCCACAGGTAACGGCACCTCCATCTAGCACACGACACCCCTCGAATGATCATATCCCTGCAGCACACCCAGATCGGCCACTGATCCTGTATGCCTATGCAGAATCCGCTACGGCGCGCGAGAACCTTGGTTTCTTCCTCCGCAAAGGTCTTCACGCCGCGGCCGACTTTGTATTCATCTTCAATGGCGAGACAAATGCCTCCCGACTGGTGCCCGATGCACCCAACATTGAGATCGTCGAGCGTTCCAACACGTGCTTTGACCTTGGTGCCTACGGAGAGGTCCTAAGGAAAGACGACCTCTGGACAAGATACAAGCGCTTCGTTCTGCTGAATGCTAGCATTCGAGGGCCATTTCTGCCGACGTGGAGCTCAAGCTGCTGGTCGGATCTCTTCCTGGACAGGCTGACTGCGAAGAAGAAGGTATATAAACCCTAACGTCCAAACGCAGAGACCCGGCGTGCTGCTAACCATGCAGCTCATTGGTATGACGCTGAACTGCCAACCGAGAATGCACATTCAGTCCATGATTTTGGCCACCGACAAGATTGGCATGCACAACTTGCTCGACCCAGCCCTCGCAGCCTCGGCCTCTGTTGCCGATCAGTTCGGCACTGCAGATGATCCTGTTGGACTGAGCGGCTGCTATTCCGGCTGGAACGCCGCTGTGCATGCAGAGGTAGGCACGACAAGCCTCATCACCTCCGCAGGGTATGAAGTTGATGCCCTCATGACGGCGTTGCATTCGGAAAGGAGCGCAGAGGAATCCTGCAAGGCCCACCCCGACTCGGGCGACTTATTATGGGACAAGAAGTACTTTGGGGGCAACATACATCCCTACGAGACAGTCTTTGCCAAAACGAACAGAAACGTTGACAAGGAGTTCATGGCAGCCTTGACGGAGTTTCACCTGCGGTCGGAGATCACCAGCTACACAGCATGTAGTTCATGATTCTTGCTGATAGATTTTGAAAAACAACTTATATGACTCATGAGAAAGACAGTACACCGAGAAGAATTGATCTTCGTTGGCAGCTTGAGGTTACTGCTTTCACTTTGCATGCTGCTTTTGGTGTTGTTACAAAGATGACTGAGGCACTTGATTGCCCTATTCGCTAAAAGGGAGACAATGGGCTAGCCAAGGCTAGTGCAGTAGCCATTTTCGGCGACATAGAAACGGAGGCAGATTGCGACCAGCTTCGAAGATGTTGACTATCGGTAGATAATAGCTTTGTGGCCGAGGTCTCTCGTGGTTAAGCGGAAGAGAACGATGCCCTTTATTCCGTAGGTGATGATAATGATGATGATATATTTACTGCCACTATCAATCCTATATGGGCAAAAACATGCCCGCGCCGCCACGCTCCATTGGCCGTCAAACTAGCCATATTCAAGTTGCGGCTGGTCTATGGGCTTCATTTCTGGTTGTCTGGGGGGCGGGCAGGTTATCCTGCTTAGAGGTGTTCCGGTTGAGTCTTTCCTGTGGCGTCAGCGCCTCCAGGTGTGGTCTGTTGGTTAGCCGTGTGCATAGACCGGGGGGTCCATGCCGTGCTGTTGTTAGTTTGTCGGTGTCGGGTGACGGGAGTTATGCTATAGGTGTTGAGTCTGGCTTCTTCACCATTTCTGGTGTTGACCTCTAGAACAGGGTCTCATGCACTCAATCAATAGCTTCGCTTTCTAACCACGAGATCTGACTCTCTATCGAAGATGGGAGGAGTGACTAAACAAGTGCCAGATGGCCTGGCGGAGGTACGCATGGTCTCATGTTCAAGATGACGCTCGCTAACGGACTAGGTGGTTCTGCCGGCTACGTCGTCGCCTCAAGACTCAGCGATGCAGACCCAAGTCTGTCCATTCTCGTGATCGAGTGTGGCCCGGATAACCGCGATGACTCCACGGTCGTCCACCCGATATTTGCTTTTGGCCGCATGGCCACATGCGGCAAGACGATGCTGAACTATTCGTCAATCAAGGAACCACGGACCGCCGAGAGAGTCATCAACAGAGTAAGTGCCGGTCTCCTCGGTGGCGGATCGGCAATCAACATGTCGACCTACCAGAGGCCGGAAAGGTTCGATTACAACTGCTGGAAGGTGCCTGGCTGGTCCGCGAATGGCTGCTGCCATTCATGAAGAAGGTAAGATTATAAATGTTCTTCCGCTCTTAGGACCACCATGGCTGACAAAAGACAGATTGAGTCGTATCACGGCCAGGGATCTCAGACGCCCATGGGTATGATGGGCCTCTTAAGTCACCAGCCCAGCATTCACTGTCACCAAGCCGCAAAATGACTTCATCCAGGCAGCGAACCAGGTTGGGTACCCTGCAATCAAGGATCTACAGGACTTCGACTCCTACAACGGTGTTCAGCGCAATTTGGCATACATTAGAAAGGATGGCAAACGTCAGGACGCAGCGCATAAATAGTTGTTTCCCGGCTCAAGGATGGGAAGTACCAGAATCTGCAAGTACTTGTAGAGCATCAGGTTTCACGGATCCTGTTCGAAGGCACGACGGCATCTGGGGTCGATATTCGTCCGAACCCACTCCTCCAACCTGACGGCAGTTTGCAAACCATCAATACACGGAAGCTGGTGATTACTGCTTCTGGTGCTATGGCGACGCCCTTGCTTGTCGAGAGATCCGGACAGCAAGTCTCATCATTGCGGAGCTCGGGCTATGAGGTGCATCTGAAGTCAATGCATAGATAGATTAGGAAATGAGAAAAGCGTGGGTCTATATACCTATCTAAGGCCATCGGCATGGCGTGTACAGGGGAGCCAGCATGCAATCAACACTGCCTGTTATACGCCTCACTCGAGCCATCACGCGTTGTTTAGGGCTAATATGCTTCGGGCTTTGTGCCAAGTGGCTGGCTCCGTTGGTGGATTGTCTCTGAAGATATGGAAGACGTTTTTCCCTTTCGAAACAAAACCCTCGAGCGAGACACGGTAGTAGCAATCGGCGTCATGATCCCGTCATAAGAACGTCTGGCAGCTCGACATAACCTTCGATTACAGCGTCTGTGATGGAAAAATGATAGGATAACTGCTATTGAAATTCGTCCGAAACTCCAGTTCAGGTATCTCGTGTTCTCGCTCCCAATCCTTATTCAAACGCCAACAGTATGGCTGAACACCTTGGCCGCCAGCTGCGTGAGCAATCTTGCGCGATCTGCCTGCGGCAAGTCCTGTACGTGGAAAAAGGAAGAAGTCAGTAAAAGAGCCCATCGGAGGAACCTCGCCCAAGTACCGCATTCGGCTAGAGAAAGAGAGAGCCTGACAAGTTCTTGCAGGGCCCGATAACTTCGCTTCACCCAATCGACACATCCACGCTCGCACTGACCTGGAAAACAGCATACACACTCTTCCCCTTGGTGTCACGGATGGCGCCCAGCCTGTTCCCTGCTACCGCCCCGGCCAGCAGACCCGGGACGTTGGCGATGATGAAGCCCAGCGCGCCGCCGCTCGCGCCGCCGACCACGCTCCAGAAGGTGCCGGTCGGGCGATTCGTGCCGTCGCCCTCGGCCATGCCCTCCTCGCGCAGCATCTCCTCAAAGACGTCGCCGAACTGCGCCTCCTCGGTCTTCTGCCGCTCCTCGCTGCTGCCGGCCGCGCCATTCTTTCCGGTGAAGTAGTTCCACGCCCACGAGTAAGCATTTTGCGCATGGGCGCCACCGGCCTGGGGTGGAACCTCCTCGTCGAATTCGTCCGACTCAAACGGGTCGGCGCCCGCGGCAGGAGCCTTGCGCCCGGACGAGGTGCCAAAGATCTTTCGCTGGGCGTCGTATTCGCGGCGTCGCGAAGGGTCGGAAAGTGTGTAGTAGGCGTCGTTGACGATCTGGAACTTGCGCGTGCGGGATGCTCGTTCGGGCGAGTCGGAGGGGACGCGGTCGGGATGTGTCTTCAGAGCGGCTCTGTGATCAGGGTGGTTAGCGCAAAAGCCGATTTGCGAGGAGGGAAATATGCATATCGCTCACTTCTTGTAGGCGTCACGGACCTGTTGTGTCGTTGCCGACTCCTGGATCTCCAGGATGACATCTGTGGCACGTCAGCACATATCCGGCTCTCGCCGTGGCGGGGTCCTCGTCGTCGCATACAGTAGTTGGGAGGGGGGCCAGAAGAGGCCATCGTGTTCTTTGTCCTGGTGTCTCGACTAGAAATTCGAACTTTCAGGTTACAGAAGAGTATAGTGGAGTGGTGAAGTATAGGATCTAAGGCGTGGAAAGACTGGAGGAGAGCCTCAAGTGGTGAGGTAGGTAGGAACATACCCAGGTGTCCAAGTAGATGAAGACCATTCCCCCCGCCAAGAAGCCACACCAACGTCATTGTGGCGGAACTCAAGAAACGCCACACAAAGATAACACGTGGGAAGATAAGCTGCGATAAGTGGAACTTGTCGAACGTGATTGATGGTGTTTCATTCATACTCAAGTCACGACCTGCAAGCTCTCCATCATACCTCGAGGAAGATAAAGAATTCAAATGCCTAAGGCTGAGGTATCTTGGAATCACTGACACGGCCCGCCCACAAACACAACATGCTGTCCAGCCTCAGGCTTCCTATGCTTCTCACACCCTCAGTCTCGAGCTGAGACTCGTACACGCTTCCACCCACGCCCAAGGTTATATCGCTCTCAATGAAAAACAATCCACACATTGTGCGCATGCCTCGAGTCCCATTACTCCGGTTTCCAATTCAGTCATCGCCGCCCAAAAGTTATCATGTCGCGTTGCAGTGGCTAGTAGAAAAGCAGGCTCGCTGTGACCGCCTCACGTTTCGCGTCCAATCAGTCCGTGTTCTTCTCGTTGTTCTCATATTCTGGAGCTCCTGACAGTAGCAAGGGCTCCGTACTCCGGGTCATCTCAAATTGAGATGGCTTCCTCTCTCAGAGGAACACATCTCGCTGTGGTGGCATCGGTCCTACGTCGTCCGCTTGAGCGCTCAACGCAACTGGATTTCGAAGCCTTTTTGCCTTGTGAATGGCAATGAGCATATCAATTAGATGCTCAGCATCTGCATGTAGGGCCTCGAGCTCCGCAGGTGTGCAGCCACGTGTCTTGCCGTCAGGACCAGGTTGCCTATAGGCGGCGAAAACGATGCCACGATCGACCTCTGACCGTGGTTCCATCGAGGCGCAAGTAGTTGTAGATTTTCGCGAAAAGCCTGCGTGGAATGCATGGCCGTATCCGCGCGAGAATTCGCCTTCTTTTGCATCGGCGCTGCGGTATTCGATCCAGCTTTCGTGACGCAGAATTTTAGCGTGGACTGCAGCGGAAATGCGAAAGGGGCTGGCCACTTTGGATAGTCCATAGGCCGCAAGTAGTCGCCCCGTCATTCCAGATGCGGTTTCCACCACAGTACCTTCCATGGAGCCAAGCAACGAGCTCCTGGCGCTGTTGGGCCTGGATGAGGAAGCTGACTCGCAGGCCGAGGTGGGCATCGATGCAGCTGCGGATGCATAATGGACCTTCTCAGGCCAGAGATTGACAATGTACACGAGGTCAAACTTGTGCTTGGCTGCAATCTTCGCGATCTGCACAGCGCCATGAGCGGCGGCGTCTGCAAGAGTGTTTATGACACTGGTTGTTGAGGATCGCTTCGACATGGGTGTCGTTGCACGAACGGATGTTATTGTTTTTGTCGACGGCCTGCGCAAATACGGTGCCATCTCAGGGGTCGTAGGCTCGTCAGCGCTTAGATCCTCTTCGGCGATATCATCGTCGCTTAGTTCGAAGAAATCCTTGACATCTCCGCCCTTGAGTACACTCTTTGCCTGCTTGAGGGATTGCGTAGACGCCAAAACAATGTGTGACTGGGCCCTTCGCAGTTCTGCGGCTTTTCTTTCTTTGCGGCGACGGAGGGGTGCGAACATTCTTCTCTTGTCAGCCACACCGACATCAGGCTCTTGGCTAGGGGGTTCTGACAACGCTCTAATCTCTGGCGATGCTGCTGGTGTTGGAGGATTAGGCGGCCGAAGGCTGGGCGTGGAACCGCTCTGAGTTTGCTGCCGGTGGTGATACTTCCAGTCATCCTCATGGTCGGACGCGGGCGGCGTATCAGCCCGCGAGGCCAAGAGGAAAGAGCTGTGGCGATGCTCCAGGTGACCCCGTCCCATGGCGGCGGCAGTGGTGGGTGAGCAGGAAGGTGAAGTAGGCAGGTCTGTTGAGATGGTTCTGATATCCTTGGGTGGGAGAGGAAATTTGAACTCCTTAAGTTTAGAGGCATGCAGATTCTTTCTGCGGAGTATCAGGGACGTGTGGTGAGGAGGAGCGTTGTTCAGGTCTCCTGTGCTGGCGGTACTGAAAGTGGAGGAATGCATAGACATGCGCTCGGAGCGCGCTTCGGGCAAGCTACTGGCGCGGCTGTCGTGACGTTCGGCTGGCGTCGACTCATCTCGAGCAATCATACGCTCGCCTTTTCCCTTGGGTCGCAGAAATGACGGCTGAGGGAAGCTCACATTGCCAGGCTGCGTATGCTGGACGTCGGCGACAGGCTCTGCGCGGTCTGTTGAAAGGTTTTTGCCCGTGGGAGAGTTCTTGCGCTTAGAGAACAGCCTATCCAGGCGGTCGAGGCCGTTTGGCATGATAGGCAACGTCTCCAGAATTTCCGTACAGAAGCCGTCGACGTTTCAAAGATGGTGGTATCGACCCAGTTGAAGCTTGATGAGGTTCACCGGCGACGGGCACAGGAAATCTAAAAGCGGTTTGGTGGTTTTCGACGTTTTGGGTGTGAGACGGATCAAGAGAGGCGGTGGCAAGAATGATTCCGCAGAGAGGCTCTCCTCGGGTTGTTGAGTGCCAGTATTTGTTCGTACGTCGCAGGCAAGTGGTGCGTCGTCTCCAAGGAGGCTCGTGGGTATCAAAGGGGCGTACCAGGGAGTCTTTTGCTGAGGCGAACGAAATGAAGGACGAGGAATAGTTCGGTTGTACTGCGGCCACGGGAAGTCACAATGGTGAATTCGCTCGGCGGCCGGGAGTCTGGTGGAGGGAGGTAAGGAGAGAGGGTGCAATGAGACAAGTGAGGACGATTGTCTCGAGAGATGCTGTATGCCAGACACGCGTGAGGGGCGAATCAGGGACTATGCGACACAGAGAGCCCATGAAGGGGCGAGAGGCGTCGAGACAATTACACAAGTCGACGGCTCTGGCTTCGGTATGGTGCGAGTCGAGCGTGGAGGATTCGGCTTTGTGGCGGTTTGTGGCTGCTGTTGTGATGTTGGTATTGTAAGCCAAGCAGCGTGGTGCAGGAGTTGTCGACTGGCTCAGCGAGAGACGTGAAGTGTTGCGTATTCAGTTACAAAATTCCGAGCGCGGTCGCAAGGAGATTAACGGCAGCTGTGACGGCTAGCCAGATCCGAGTGTCTAAACAAACGAAAGCCTGGTAGTGGTAGAGACGACGCGACAGAACCACAACAGCTTTCGGTGCAGGGCGTCGAGATGGGACGGACACGGGGCTGGGCAGTAGCAGGCGGAGGGGCGGGTTGGTAGTGTGACGAGACTGGCGTAAAAACACGGCAGAGGCAGCAGGACCAGTTGAAACAAGGTGAGCAGCAGAAAGGACGATACATGTACCAACACCAGCACTACTACAACAGGGTAGGTAGGTGCAACAGAAGGAAGGCGCGGTGCGATGGGCGCGACTGCCACCCTCGAGCCTCTTAAGAGTTTCGTCAGATCTGTCGAGGAAGTGACGAGCAAGATGGGGTGCTGGAGCTCAAAATGGCAAGAGGGGGGCCCTGATCCTGGCACCCACACACAGTGTCTACTGGAGACCCCAGTCCCCCCAAGGCTTACATGTACATGTACACGCCTCTGGCAATGCAATGCCTCAAGTCTCGACCGGCCGATATGAGCTGATGAAAAGACTCGACCGTGTCCTTCTGTTTCTCGGTCTTGCCGTTGGCTGTACTTACTTTGCTCGCTTACGGGCGCCAGAAGCATCAAGCGGGCCTGGTTGAGCTGGGCTGGACGCCGGTGCTGAGCCAGTGCAGCTACACCTGCAGGTGATAGAAAACAGAACCGACCCGGCTCCTGCCTCAAGGCTACGAGTACGACCCATCATCGCCCTTGCTCCTGCCCATGTTTCCCCAGTGAGAGGCTCCACTGAAATCGTCAAATACACACTGTAAGGTACCTTGTCCAGGCTTGTACCTCTGGTGCTTTCAGGGGCCTGAAGCAGGTAACCGGCAGGGATCACAGTGCCCTGAGCGCGCAGGCGAACGGACCTGATCCTTCCTCCACTTTGTATTTCATTAGGTGCTCGTCGTCGTCTCGTGCTCCACCACTGGGCCCTCTACTTCACAGTCTGCTTACTTTTTCCTCTATCGCTTACAACCAGCATTTTCGGCCTTGAGCTGCTGCAAATGTGACAAGTTACAGAATCCGGGGGCCATGACGAGCGAACACACGCAAGACCTTGCCCTCCAGTCCTGATCCTCGCAGGATATACAGTTCTCTGGGATCATCGGATATCCTGCCGCGTTCGAGCAGACTCGACACTCGATCCCCTCCCTTGCTCTCCGGGGTTTCCTTGGATGGTTGGTTCGGGATAACTGAGTTGCCATTGCAGCCTCGTCGATCGAGTCGAGGAGCGTGGTGGAATTGCTCCCTTTCCCTGGCTGATCTTCGCCTTTGCTCCGCGAGCACAGACAAAGAACCACCACATGTCTGTCATATACCATCACCTGGCGGGTAGTGGAGGTCCTGCCATGTCAGAGCTATTATCACGCAAAACCCTGACTTCCACGCAATTCTGCCATTCACAATGCTCCCGCCTTATGAGGCCCGGCCAGTCGTGCCCTGGCCTGGTTGGCGGCGCACAACGACAGGCGGGCTGAACGGCCGGCGCCGACAATGCAAACGAGGGCCTCAACATGGTCTGTATCACATCATTCTGCTTTCTCCCAGTCTCCAGGAGCACTGTGCGACGCTGGTTGGTGCCGCCGCCCAATCCCTTCTCCCTCGATGCGTCATGGGGCATTGTCGGAGAGACTGCCTCGACACCAGTCTCAAACAGTAGCTGAAGCGCCTCCGTCGTCTACTGCAGCTAGATCCAGAACCTGTCCGCAGCCATTGATTACTTGCCACGACTCAGAGCTCCGAACCCATTGGGGTCTATGGGAAGGGGGAGGGATGGATTAACCTGGCGCGCAGCGAGCATAGGGAAAAGGAATATCCACCATTATCATGCTCCAAGAAACACTTTGAGCTCGCCTAGGCCTACTGTAGGAGTACACACCACTCTGTCAGGGATCATGATGCAGTTATCAGCGCACGGCCTATTGCTTCTCCACCAATTTGCGGGCCTGGTCTTCCCTCTGGCCAGAGCCCGAAACCAACGTCCGTCCGCAAAGAATAACCCTGGCGTTCTTTCAATACTAAAGTTCACAGAGACGATTCAACCCCTCGCAAAGCCTTCCTTGTGATGGCCACAGTTCGTTGATCACATCGTCAAACCCTATATCGGCCCAGTGCGGTGCCTGTGAACATTGGCATGAACGACCTGCGACAGTCGTCGATGCAACACCAGGCGGGCCATGCCTTCACTTCACTTCCGGTTCCCCGGGCCAGACCTTCTGCGTGGCGGCGAGCCGACCTTCTGCTGGCTTGACAACACGACTGCTTCAACTCGGTTACTGTTCCACGGCCTTGGCCTCCAGTCGCGGAAGCAGGCATTGCTTACCTGCGAAAAATCCTCTGCCTCTATTGGAGCCAACGGTGCATGTCAATTCGCCTCCTGATCAGCTGTCTGGACGGTTGAAAAAGCAAGTGTTAGTGCTGGAAAATTCTGGAAACGTTCAATGAAAGTAACAGGTGCGCTTTGCTTTCTTCTCCCTGTCGGTCACCCATGGACATTGGGAGCAAAACTATCTGCGGCCTCTTCGCGTTTCAATTCGCCTTCGCCAGTAGACTGGCCTAGTTTCTCCTTGCGTCATGTCTCACGCCAGGCAGACATCGCGAGAATAGCACGAGGCGGAACCCGAGCCTAGCCAGTACGGACTCGATGCTAGTCCAAGGCCAAACGCACGACCTCCCGTTGTGACCTGCGCCACGTAGCTGACGTCTTGAAATGGCCTTCCCCAGCTATCGAGTCGACAGCGGCTCTGCCAATGTAAATGCGGTCAGCGCTCCCTTCAGTGGATATCAGACGTACCAAGAGTTGATGCGCGATATCCGCACATGCAGCACTTCTTACTCATCGGTCACAGTTTTAACCAGTTCGGGCCAAAGGCCCCTCAGAGCTTGGACCTCGCGGTGCTGGCAGGGCCCGGCACGCGGGGTTGCTGGTATCGGTCCCGGTACCCCAGCAACCTGGCACCAGGCCAGCCACTGACCTCCGATCACTACGCCGAACACCCACCCACTCGCGTCATCTCCAAAGAAAAGAAAAAAGCAATGTCAATCTGCTAGCGGTCCTCATCCCTCACCAACATGGATGGCGTGAAGCATGACTCAACAGGAACCCTGGTCGTTTTGTCATTTGAACCGACTGATAATAAATCCCCAGTTTCGTCACTTATCACCCCCGCGACTACGGTGTAGAGTATGTGAGCCTGAAATGTTGGGGGGCCGGTATCGCAAGACGCGCCATAACAGTCGATGCTGCCGGATCTACCGTGAGATCCTGCAGTGTTACATCGACGATAGACACGCATGGTTACGATCGGCTGATCCTTTAGCGAAGTTGAGCATCCTCTGACTACGGTGTGACGTCCTGACCAATGTACAGGAGGGGAAGGAAAACAGACCAGCAGCAGATGAGTATCAATGTGGGTTGCTTTTTTGGTACGTTCCTGATGGCATACGATGCACTGAACGGGAACAAGCAACCAGTCACCCGACGCATCTAACAGTTGACTGAACCGCCGCCGTGATTGGGGTCCTATCTTGCATGTCGACAGTTTGCTTTCGCAGCAGGGGCACAGTCGTGATACCCATTGAATCTGCAGTCGCGAGTGCCTCTCTTGTGATACCGCTCAAACCAGTTCCACGTAGACTTGATATGATAGCATCTCCACAGCCAGAGATATCTTGCGATGGATTGCCATACCGCATCAGGACGAGACGGGAACTTGTCCCACGCCGGCGCGACGCAGCAATGTCGCCATCCGACGTCGCTCAACCGCCATGCCATGTATTCGGAAAGCGAGTTAGGCGCACGTTGAGTGTAATCACTCGAACCGCCCCAGGCGCGACATGATTGTGATCATGCTGTCCCTGTATCGCGCCGTTCGTCGAGAGGTTTGTCATGACCCCCATGTTTGCTACCGCATCCACGTTGTTGACGTCTTCTACGGCTTGATTTGCACCATTGGCATTATCCCATGTCTCAGGGCCGCAACATTTTCTTCACTGTCCACTTCGAGACGGAGCGGCGACGTCAATCTTGCAAGTGCGTGGAATTAGTGCTCCTTGCGTTCAATCCCTGCGAATTGTGAAGGTTTTGGCGCAGATGCCGACGCCCTTGCATGGTCTTGATTTGCGAGTGCAGGATCGCGGATGAAAAGATCCTAAGCTCCGTTAGCAGCAACAGTCAGGCTACGCAAGAGCACTGACGTTCCGGGCGGCGCCTGGGTCGAGTAGC